CAGCTCCTTAACCTGCTCCTCATAGGGCTTGTTCTCCAGACCCTTGATCATTTTAGTCACCTTCCTCCGGACACATTCCAGCTTGTCAATATCTCTCTTGAATTGTGGTGCCCAGAATTGGACACAATATTCCAGGTGTGGTCTAACCAAAGCGGAATAGAGCATGGGGAGCAGGACTTCCCTAGATCTAGACACTGTACTCCTATTGATGCAGGCCAAAATTCCATTGGCTTTTTTTGCCGTTACATCACATTGTTGGCTCATGTTTAACTTGTTGTCCACGAGGACTCCAAGATCTTTTTCACACGTACTGCTCTCGAGCCAGGCCTCATCGTCCCCCATTCTGTATCTTTGCATTTCGTTTTTCCTGCCTAAGTGGAGTCTCTTGCATTTGTCCCCATTGAACTTCATTTTGTTAGTTTTGGCCAATCACCTCTCTAATCTGTCAAGATCATTTTGAATCCTGCTCCTGTCCTCTGGAATATTGGCTCTCCCTCCCAATTTGGTGTTATCTGCAAACTTGACGACCCTGCCTTCTAACGCTTCATCCAAGTCATTGATAAAGATGTGGAAAAGGACCGGGACCAGGACGGAACCCTGCGGCACTCCACTTCTTTCCAAGATGGAGAGGAAGCATTGGTGAGCACCCTCTGGGTTCGTCCATATATCGTATATATAAAACAATTGTAAGTCCCCTAAGTTGACTCTTATGGCATGACTTCAAAGGAGCCGTGACTGTAGGCCTTGGACCAGTTTCAGTTGACTTCTATTGTGTTAACTGATGAGGTTGGACATTTAAACTGGGATGTATAAAATACAAACCATGTTCTCCACCATCAAAATGTAATCAGTTTCTTGATCTATAACTGCCTGGTGCCTCAAGGTGGAGCCAAATGAATGAGAATAGAGGTAGTCCTAGTAGCTTCACGAGGAGGCCACTTGTAAGAGACAGAGAAGATAATGACAGTGAGGAAGATAACTATACATAAATTCTCTTTCAAGGGAAAATCTATTTCTTATCTCCTCGGACCTTGAAACCAGCTCATTGTGTGTTTTCCGGGTTGAACATATTAAGCTATTTCAATCTTGCATAAAAGTACTTGTTTTCCAGACTTTCTCATCGAACAAGCATTCCAAAATATCTATTAGGCTTGGTTGATCCAGCTCGTTAATTTCTTATCTCGTTAAGAAATCGTAAACGAAATAACTTTAGAAGCGATATCGACGCGTTTTGGCAACCCGGAAGTGTTTTTACCATATCGAAGCCGCATACGCCATCTTCCTTACGACTTCCGCCAGTGAATGGTAAATGCTGGGGGCGTGACCTGCAGCAACAGCTGTTCTTAGCCACGCCCACCTCCTTCCTCTTTGCATCAGCAGCTTTGCGAGGTGGGCTTTGTGAGGTGGGTGTGGCTACCTCCCTGGTGACAAGCGGCGATGCGGAAGAGCTGGGCGTAGCCACGCCCACCTCGCAAAGCCGCCGATGCAAAGAGGAAGGAGGTGGGCATGGGTAAGAACAGTTGTTCCTGAAGGCCACGCCCCAGTGACCTCCAAGGAGAGCTGTGCTTGGCCACGCCCACCTCTCTCATCTTTCCTTCCCTTCCCTGGTAAGCTGTAAGTCATGCAGAAGGGGGAGGTGGGCATGGCCAAGCACAGCGATCCTTGGAGGTTGCTGGGGGTGAGGCCTCCAAGGAGGGCTGTGCTTGGCTACACCCACCTCTCCCTTCTGCATGGAAGCTCGCGGCAAGGGAAGGAAGGGAAACTGTGAGATTTTAATGGTTCTGGAGGGAGAGAGGGGCACCTTCCATTAACGAAACAAAGGAAGTGATTCATATTTCTTGGTACTTCCGATTCGGCTTGGGTAACCACGGAAAAATTTGGTTCTAAATTCCTTTTGTTTTTAGGGGGCCCTTGCGTTTCGTTTTTTTTAATAATTCCGAAATTTTCTTTTAAAAATTTTGAAATATAAAAAAATTCGTAAAATTACAAATCGATTCGTTAATGGCGGACGAGATTGCGCAATATGCTACAAAAACCTCCAAATGGGACAGGAGGAACTTCTGAAGCTTCCCTCTCCCTCTGTTGTTGACTGTTGGTGTGATAAAACAAACAACAACTATAAAACTTGCACCAGACATGCGAAAATAATTATACAGTAATTATGAAATAATTACAAAATAATTACAAAATAATTACGAAATAAATTGAAAAAATTGTTTCGAATCTAATTTACTCCTCACACTATTCCTGCATGGCTCAATACTGGATCGTAAGCTAATTTAAATACGAATTAATAACGAATTACGAAATTAACGAACGAAACCGCCCAAGCCTACTTCCGATCTGTTTTTAAAGAAAATTTTGGAAATAATTTCAAAATCAAACCACCAGCGAAATGAGTTTAGAACCATTTTTTTTTTCTTGATCAACCAAGCCTAATATCTATGTATTCATTCTAAACAAGTTTTATTTCTGGATAAACTTGCAATTTTAAAAGAGCATTTTTTTAATAAAAAAATCACACACATGCACACTATTTATTTTAAATTTTATTTAAATTGTGATAAACATTGTTCTTAAATATCTAAAATGTTAATACTGTACAGTTGTCGGGTGTCACTTTCCCAATTTCCCCTCCCGTCCCCTTCGAAGAATGACGAAATCATTGAAATTCTTTTGTAGGAAAGATGCACAGAAAATAACGCTGTTTTCTGTGCAGAAAACATGTCTATGTTTGTTTTTCTGCACAGTGTTTTTTGTGCAGAAAACTCTTTTTTTTCCATGTGGAATCATTTTGCCGCAAACCCTTAAGATGTTTGAACACGCAGAGAAAGTCTTCCAAAATGCTCACAGGTCCGTTGTGTTTCCCAACCATTGAGGAACCTGCTGTTCAACCTTGAAATTAAACAATATGAATATTCTTCCCAGCATTAATTATAAATGCTCCTTTTCATTTCACGGTAGACTATGCGAGCATTTAGCATAACAGAAGATTAAACTAGGACCAGGCCATAACTGGAGTTGTTTGGCCTAATTTCTGATCCTTTTCCAATTATATTTACCTGTATGTTTACTTCCCATTTAACCATTTATTGAATGGATCTACTCTAGTTGGATCTAGTCACCAGAATTCCATAAATTCTATTTATTAAGAAATCTTTCAGTTCAAGAGTAGTTATCCACCACCATCAGAGACCTTCTATGGCATTCCCTCGATATATTTCTACCCCATTCCCTCTCTTGTATACACATTTAAACACACACACACAGACACACAAACATCGCAAACTCTTCCTACCAAATTGATTTAATTTGGTCCAAATTTTCAGGGCTGATCAGAATATATATTTCACTCACAGACTCGTAGAACTGGAACAAACCACAAGGTCAATTGGTCAACTCTCTGCCAAATAGTTGGCTTAGACTCAACCAAGTCTTGGTGATCTTGTAGTTGGTACAACAAATAGGAAAATAGTTGTTTTAACACACTCACGTCACGGGCTTAGAAAGATCGAAGTAACCCTTCTTCAGGTTCACAACCTAGGCTGGAATTATATTTTTGATCAGTTCCTAATACAGTTTGAGAGAAGCCATGGTGGACAAAGTACAGTCATTCCTCCACATTTTCAGCTTTGACTTTTGCTGATTTAATTGAGTGGTCCTTCTCTGTGAATTTGAGATCAGCTTTTGCTGGAGGACTTAAAGTCATTCTGGAGGACCTGGAAATTTCTAGAGATATCACTTCTCTAGGAATCTCTAGGTCCTCCAATACTAAACTATGGTGGACTTCTGGTGGACACTGAACACAGAATCATGATGGAGATATCACTTCTATGGGAATCTTTATGTCCTCCAATACTAAACAATGGTTGGCTTGTGGTGGAAATTGAACACAAAATCATGGTGGAGATATCACTTCTCGAGGAATCTTTAGGTCTCCCAATACTAAACTATGGTGGACTTCTGGTGGACATTGAACACAGAATCATGATGGAGATATCACTTCTCTAGGAATCTTTAGGTCCTCCAATAATAAACTATGGTTGACTTGTGGTGGATATTGAACACAAAATCATGATGGAAGTATCACTTCTCTAGGAATCTTTAGGTCCTCCAATACTAAACTATGGTGGACTTCTGGTGGACATTGAACAGAACCATGATGGAGATATCACTTCTCTAGGAATCTTTAGATCCTCCAACACTAAACTATGGTTGACTTGTGGTGGGAATTGAACACAGAATCATGGTGGAGATATCACTTCTCTAGGAATCTTTAGGTCTCCCAATACTAAACAATGGTTGTCTTGTGGTGGAAACTGAACACAGAATCATGTGGAGATATAACTTCTCTAGGAATCTTTAGGTCCCCCAGTGCTGAACTATGGTTGACTTCTGGTGGACATTGAACACAGAATCATGATGGAGATATCACTTCTCTAGGAATCTTTAGGTCCTCCAATACTAAACTATGATGGACTTGTGGTGGACATTGAACACAGAATCATGATGGAGAGATTCCTTGAGAAGTATTCTCCTAGGTTTTTCATTTTCACAGAGACCCAGTGCCCAAAGACTAGGAAATATGGAGAGTGAATTGCCCTTTCAAGCTAGTGTTAGTGACCAAAGGTGACTTTCTACCAGTTGCCTCCTGGATTTGTGTATCTTCAATATGCCTTACTAAGTAAAGCAAAAAACAATAGATGCAGTTAAAGATAATGTAAATGTGCATATAGATTGTTGATATATCTAAATTAGGAGTAATTGTACAGATCTCCAGATGCTATTGAACTTCCCTAAGTAGCATAGGCAACAATGGGGGAGACTGGGAATTGCACTTCAAAACATCTGGAGGGCCAAAAGGTCTCCACTGCTTGCCTAAAATCTATAGATGGTCCCAACTAGGGATGTCTAGTTTATTCGACATTGTAGGGGTGCTGCATCTATTTTTTGATTTCCTTGCTGTTCCTCCCATAACTATTCTGAGTTGTACTGGAGTTCTGTAAGTGTGTACTGGCATTGTAAATCTATTTTCAACCTCGTTTAAATTAATAAGGCAACCTTGTGCTCTATAAATTCTTTGGACTATTAGTTTAAATATAATCTTACAATGTGTCACATTGATTGGTCTTCAGAGCTCAAAAGGAAACAAGCTTGTAAACGTTAATTCGCGTGGCTTCTCTCTGAGCTGTGTTAGGAAGGATTTACTACATTCCTGAATTAGACTGATGAGACACGACGTCTGGGTTTCCACCAGGCTGTTCCTGGGACCAACAACGATAAACCTATTGAAGCAATGAGATTTACATGGACGTTGAATCACCATTCAACGATTAATTAAATAGGTCTACGCTAGTTAGTACTAGCAATTGGATTCTAGGTTCTTAACCAGTTGTGCTTTCATCACAATTCAACCCAAGTATTACAGAAAACACACATGTTAGCATTGAGTCCCACCACACTGACAAATAGTTCTGGTTTCTTTAATGTCCAAGTCTTTAGAAGGATTTAAATTAAGGTTCGTGCATATCAATTCACCCAGCCTTGCCACGTTCTTCTTCTGACCATCCCTGGTGACACCATCTCCTCGAGCAGTTTAGTATGATGGCCGGTAACTCATAGAGCTCGTATTGCTCGTTGAGCTGAAGCCATTGTGATATTTTGAGTAACGCGATAACTGATTTATGGTGCTCCTGGACAAGACGGACCTGCCGTAAATCTCACCCCAGGGGCGAGAAGGCCTTCTGAGGTCCGGCAGAGGCTGTTTCATGGCACACAGAGAGCTCCTTCTGGTGGCCAGGGCTCTTGATGGTGTAATCTCATTGTTGCACAGCGCATAAGGCTTACTGCTGTCCAAGGCCGGGGTCTCAGATCCGCCTGGATTCAGGACTTCCACTTTGCATGTTTCAGGGAAAACTTGAAGGATTGGCCCGGGCATGTCTACTTCTAATGGAGGTGGCTTGACGACAATCCTCAGCTCTGGTCCCTCCGAGATGCATGAAGAAGCACCCAATAGTGCGCAGATTGTAGCAGAGTCCTTTACACGTGTGGCCAGGGCTTTGGTTTCACCCGTGTCTTCATCCCCATTGGTGATGGCGCATTGTTCCTCGCCTGTGATCGCTGCATTTCCATCACACGGGTTGTAGACTTCCACTGCACACTCCGCGGCCATAATTTCGACGATGGGGCCGGGCAAGCAGATTTCAATCTCTGGAGGGTGTATTATCACTTTGGAGCCCGGACCTTGTGTTACGCATGGGTTGTCACTCGGAAGCCCACATGGGACCGAGGTGGAGCGAGTTGTGCGTTGTGGAAGAACAGAGCAGTCAGAATTGGAAGCCGATCGGGTTAAGGCGAGTGGGTGGGTCTCACTGGGGACGCAGGGGATTGAGCTTTCAATGAGGCATTCATTGGGATTGCTGCTGAGCATTGCCCCAGGTAACATAATGCAGACCGGTGGTGGATAGATCACCAGCTGTGAGTCTGAACATGCGGTGGTGCAACATGGAGTGTCTCCCCCGGAAATTGCTCGGAGACCAGACGATTTTGTGACGACAGCCTTGCAGGATCCTTCCTCGCCATTGATGGGACACGACGTCTGGGTTTCCACCAGGCACTTACCAGGATTTGTGGTGAGACGGAGACCCGGTAAAGTGATGGCCAGCGGTGGCGGGTGGATCACCATTTTTGCATCCGGGCATTTGGTAACGCATGGCTCCGTCAAACACTTTACAGGCGTGCCAGACATTCTGCTGGGAGGGTGGTCAGCCTGGGAGGAAAAAGAAGATACATCAAAGAAAAGCTGAATTACATTGATGTTCAGTCAGTGAAGATAAAGTCTCATCCCTTTGATGGTTGCCTACAAGATAAAATCTCAGTAGTTGAGTAACATTTGTGAAAATTCCCTCTTCTATGCAATCATTAAAGCAGTGGTAATCAACATGTGGGTCTCCAGATATTTTGGCCTTCAACTCCTAGGTCTATCACTCTATCATCAGGACCTGAAGGTAGGCCTCTCTTAGGTCTATCACTCTATCATCCATCTATCTATCTATTGAAGTGGTTCTCAATCTGTGGGTCTCTAGATGTTTTGGCCTTCAGCTCCTAGGTCTATCACTCTATCACTCTATCATTTATTTATATCTATCAGGACCTGAAGGTAGGCCTCTCTTAGGTCTATCACTCTATCACCCATCTATCTTTCTATTGCAGTGGTTCTATCAGGACCTGAATGTAGGCTTCTCTTATGTCTATTTACTCTATCATCCATCCATCTATCTATTGCAGTGGTTCTCAACCTGTGTGTCTCCAGATGTTTTGGCCTTCAACTCCTAGGTCTATCATTCTATCATCTAGCTATCTATCAGGACTTCAAGGTAGGCCTCTCTTAGGTCTATCACTCTATCATCCATCTATCCATCTATTGCAGTGGTTCTCAACCTGTGGGTCCCCAGATGTTTTGGCCTTCAATTTCCAGAAATCCTAACAGCTGGTAAACTGGCTGGGATTTCTGGAAGTTGTAGGCCAAAACACGTGGAGGCCCAGAGGTTGAGAACCACTACATTAAAGCATCAGAAGTCTTATATCTTGTTTCACCTGGAAACTATGTGATTTGCAAATATTTAAATCTGTGATGAATAAGGAGTTTCTTAAGAGCCGGGAAACCCAACCAAGAGACACCTGGACCAAACCAGAATTGTTGTAGTTCAGGTCTTCTGGACCAACTACAAAACTAAACCAAAAACACAGCGTGGGGCCTTTTTATTTCCTTGTTTTGGGGTGACAGGCATAACATGTGATAATCTGCTAATCTGCACAAGGAAGATGATTCACACAACGCAAACGTTCATGAGATGATTCCTTCTGGACAATGAAATGAATAAACATGTGCATTTTTAGTGACTCCTATAAAGTAGACCTTCACCTTCTGATAGATTTCACTTATTCTATAATGATGTTTCAGGTTTCCTCTCATCCCATTGGAATTTTTGTGCTCAAGTAATCAAGACAACATACTAAAAAAAACTCACACACTAGATACCACCACCCCCCCCCCCCCGTCAAATGTGGTAAATGAGATTGAGATTGTAACCTGATCAAAACTCATTCTTTTCACCTCTTTATCTTTTCGTTAGACCAGTGTTTCTCAACCTTCCTAATGCCGCGACCCCTTAATATAGTTCCTCATATTGTCGGGACCTCCAACCATAACATTATTTTCGTTGCTACTTCATAACTGTAATGTTGCTACTGTTATGAATCTGATATCCAGGATGTATTTTCATTCTATGGACCAAATTTGGCACAAATACCTGATACACCCAAATTTGAATACTGGTGGGGGTCTGTAGGGATTGATTTTGTCATTTGGGAGTTGTAGTTGCTGGGATTGATAGTTCACCTACAATCAAAGAGTTGGTTCCATTCCACCAACGATTGAATGGAACCAAACTTGTCATATAGAACTCTGATTAACAACAGAAAATACTGGGAGGATTTGGTGGGCATTGACCTTGAGTTTTGGAGTTGTAGTTCACCTACATCCAAAGAGCACTGTGGATCAAACTTAGCACAAATACTCAGTATGCCCAAATATGAGCACTGGTGGAGTTTGGGGAAGATAGACCTTGACATTTGGGAGTTGGAGTTGCTGGGATTTATCGTCCATCAACAGTCAAAGAGTGTTCTGAACTCCACCAATGATGGAATTGAACCAAACATGACATGCAGAACTCCCATGACCAACAGAAAATACTGGAAGAGTTTGGTGGACATTGACCTTGAGTTTTGGAGTTGTAGTTAACCTATATCCAGAGAGCACTGTGGACTCAAATAATGATGGATCGGGACCAAACTTGACACAAATACTCAATATGCCCAAATGTGAACACTGATGGAGTTTGGAAAAAATAGATCTTGACACTTGGGAGTAGGGCTGGGCGGTTTCGTTCGTTAATTTCGTAATTCGTTATGAATTGGTATTTAAATTAGCTTACGATCCAATATTGAGCCATGCAGGAATAGTGTGAGGAGTAAATTAGATTTGAAACAATTTTTTCAATTTATTTCATTATTGTTTCGTTATTATTTTGAAATTATTTTGTAATTTTTTCGTAATTTTTTCATAATTTTTTTGTAATTTTTTCGTAATTATTTTCGTATGTCTGGTGCAAGTTTTATAGTTGTTGTTTGTTTTATCACACCAACAGTCAACAACAGAGGGAGAGGGAAGCTTCAGAAGTTCCCCTGTCCCATTTGGAGGTTTTTTTTTTAGCATATTGCGCGATTGCGTCCGCCATTAACGAATTGATTCGAAATTAATGAAATTTCGTAAATAACGAAATTTTGAAATCTCAAAATTTCAGAAGTATTTAGAATTTGGAAACGCTAGTGCCCCCTGGAAACGAATCGAGTTTAGAAACAAATTTTTCCGTGGTTACCCAGCCCTACTTGGGAGTTGTAATTACTAGGATTTATAGTTCACTTACAATCAAAGAGCATTCTGAACCCCACCAATGATAGAATTGGGCCAAACTTCCCACACAGAACCCCCATGAACAACAGAAAATACTGTGTTGTCTGATGGTCTTTGGTGACCCTTCTCACACCCACTCATGATCCCCTCAAGGGTCCTGCCCCCAAGTTAAGAAACACTGCTTTAGAATGTATCTCAGATACCTTGACCCAGACTTTCCAAATTCACTAGTATGGATTTGCATTTATTCAAACTACCAAGCTAACCCCATAATTTGTACTCCTGGAAGAAACCAGAAAAGGCGTAACAAACGCTCTTGACTCACTTCAGCCAAATATATATTTACTCCAAGTGCCAATGGGATTGAGTCACAAATGCCCTGCTTGCCTTGGATGTTCCAAACTGGCCCTTCTTGACATTCTTTGTGCCCTTCCTAATGATTTAATGGCCGCTCTGTGTGGCCTACTTCTTGCATAGCACAGCCTACAGACGTTCTGCAACTTCCGAGCCCTTCCGAGTTCCATTCCTGTCCATCCCTTCTTTCAAAAAAGAGCACCACCCATCCCATGGCTCTCTTCCCGGTCATATATTCCCCTCCCTTCTCCAAGTCGGCTCCACTTCCCTTCTTTTTTCCCAATCTAGCTTAGCAAGAATCTTTATGTTTTCGGAAACACAAACCCAGTTACATACCTGCTTTGCTCTGCCTTGTCACTCAGAAATCGCACACCACCCATGTGGAGTATACAGCTATTTCCACAGCTTTATAGCTTGCAAGACGCTGGCACTCCCTTTTTTTTTCAATTCCTTCCTCTCGGCATTGCTAATTGGGAACTCTAGCAACTCCAGAAAGCTTGGGATTTGCTCTGAGACATCCGCTTCGGGAAGGAAGGCCATACTCATCCCATAAATTGATGTTTTTTTACGAGAAGAAATTAAGGAAAGCAATGAAAATAAGCATTTGCAGTTTCCAGATTAGCATCTGAGTAGGGAAGATGGGGGCCCCAGTGGCGCTGCAGGTTAAACTGCTGAGCTGTGAAACTTGCTGACCAAAAGGTCAACAGTTTGAGTCCAGGGAGCAAGCTAAGCTCTTGCTGTTAACCCCAGCTTCTGGTAAGCTAGGAGGTTGAAAACATGCAAGTGTGAGTAGGTCAATAGGTACCGCTCCTGCGGAAAGGTAACAGCACTCATTCCAGCCACATGACCATGGAGGTGTCTATGGACAATACTAGCTTAGAAATGGAGATGAATTAATGTAATGAATTAAGGATGGAATATAAGAGTATTGAAGGTATTGATTAGGCTTGGGTAACCATGGAAAAATTTGGTTCTAAACTTGTTTTGTTTTTAGGGGGCCCTTGCGTTTCGTTTTTTTAAAGAATTCCAAAATTTTCCTTTTAAAATTTCGAAATTTACGAAATTTCATATAATTACGAATCGATTCGTTAATGGCGGACGCGATTGCGCAATATGCTAAAAAAAACCTCCAAATGGGACAGGGGGAACTTCTGAAGCTTCCCTCTCCCTCTGTTGTTGACTGTTGGTGTGATAAAACAAACAACAACTATAAAACTTGCACCAGACATGCAAAAATAATTACGAAATAATTACGAAATAATTACGAAATAAATTGAAAAAATTGTTTCGAATCTAATTTACTCCTCACACTATTCCTGCATGGCTCAATATTGGATCGTAAGCTAATTTAAATACGAATTAATAATGAATTACGAAATTAACGAACAAAACCGCCCAAGCCTAGTGTCTACAGAAAATGCTGGCTTAGAAATGGAGATGGGAACTACCCCCTAGAGTTGACTTTAGCTTTCATAGAATCATAGAATCAAAGAGTTGGAAGAGACCTCATGGACCATCCAGTCCAACCCCCTGCCAAGAAGCAGGAATATTGCATTCAAATCACCCTGACAGATGACCATCCAGACTCTTTACTAGAAAAGATGGGCAAAGAGCAAGGCAGTAGGCTTGTTTGATAAAAAAAATGGTTCAAAACTCGTTTCGGATGTTCAATTCCGATTTTCACAGAAAAAAAATGTTCAAAACTTTCCGAAACTTCCGAGACTTCAGAATCCTTCCTTAATGGTTTGAAAGTGTTATTTCCTGTTTCATTGGGTGGTCTTTACTTTGAAAGTAGTTGTTTTACACCAGAAGTGGGCGGGGGGGGGGAGAGAGAGAAGGGAGGAAAGTCATCCCTCGGTTTTAAAACACTTCCCAGGCTCACGAGGGAAGAGGAGAGAGAGGAAAGTCAGCCATTCAGTTTTAAAATTCTTCCCAGGCTT